ATTCTACTTTAGTTATTTTCACAATCAGATTTTCTATACATGCAACTCATTATGTCAGTAGGTTAATATCTATTTGTTTAAAGGCAAGAGTGAGAAATGGAGCTCTGAAACATGTCTTAAGAATGCATTTAGTCTATTGTCCAATTTGGAAAATGCTTTTTTCCCCAAAGGGAAATTCTGCTCATTATCAAAACTGTTAATATAATGAACTTTCATTTCTCTCTTTTTTAAGCAATGTTCTTAGTAAATGAGTAAAACTGCCAGCTTTCAGGACCTTCACTTACACAGAACATGAAAAAGCAGAGAACGAGGAAAATAAGGATAACCAAGCACCTGTTTCTCTCCACCTGAATTTCCAAAGGTGTGGCGGAGGCCATTCTGAATGACATTTGAGATCCCTTCCATGCTGAAGCGCTAAAGGCAGCATAATACGGCCCGGAAGAAAAGGACAGAGAAAGAAGTTCAAAGACTATTAGTAAGAATGTACCACGATGACTTATGTGTCCAAGAGGCAAGCAGTTAGAAAACGCCACTACTCATTCAGATAAGTTAGACAAAACCATGCTGTTTTTAAAATATTTTTGCTTCCACTTCTTTGCAAGTCAAATGAAAAAGCAACTGCTTTTATGCTACTATGTTCACAAAGATTTTTCCTGACGTAGCTGATAAATTTTTTCCAATGCAAACATTAAGTTGTACACATATTTGTTTCATACACAATTTACTGTGTGATTTTTAAGATACCTTTTGATATTGTTTACCTACATTTTACCAAAAGTCTGAAAACTTAATATTAGCAGTCTGCGTATTTTTAGCCCAAGTTTGTATATTGCTACCATCAGTTTGGAGAACATTAACATAACATTTGGCAAATGAAAATGCTGTTACTTAGAGCACTGATTATTGCTTCCCACTCACTCTTCAGGCCACCTGCCATTGCCTTAGTGCAGAAAATGTGAATTGGAAGATGGTATGTGCTTCCTGGAGAGCAGAGTGGATCCCATGTGCCAGCCAGGCCCCAGAAACTTCTGCAGACTTTTCCACTCCGTTTCGAGGAAACAATTCTAGATTCTTTCTCCCAGCAACCTCCTAGACTTCCTAGAACTCATTGTACTGAAAAGGGAATATTTTTCCTAAACTACTTAATCTTGATTTGTAACCAGTCTACAATGTCATCAGACACAGGGAAAAGAGGCCAGTGGCACCTCCAAGGCGGCTGAGTCAAAGGAGGTGGACAGAGTCTTGCAACATGACTAATTAAGGGGGAAGCATCGTCAAAAGGAAGTTAATGCCTGATTCACTGATGTTTCCTTTCCCTGGAATTTTATAGGGGAAAGCTGAATCAGCAAATACATTTGAGGAGTCAACATAAAAAATATTCTATGAGGCACCAAGGAATAGAAGAAAGGAAACCAAGGCAATGGTCTCTGCCCCCAAGAAATGTATAGTTTAGTCCAATGTTTCACAGAGTGTAGTCCAAGGACTGCCCTTTTCAGGAGGTCCCTGAAATACCCTCT